ACATTGGCACTGGAGTTATTCATTTTGTCGTGTTTAATATATATGACAACTTCAACAATCCTATGAAACTTTTATCAATTCAAAACATATTTAATGATTTAACTAATATTCTTTAGTTTGTGGAAAAATTATATTATGGACTGGAAGGATTTTTTTTAAACTAATTTTTATATAATATCAATACAAACATTTTATCTAAAAACTCTTGACTAAATGCTATTTAAATGTTAAAGGCATCAATCCCATTTTCACTTATAATCTCTATCTCAATCCTAATTCATCAAATGTCAATGCTGTGAGCCAAACAAGGCGCCAAGGTCTTCGTCTAGGGAGTGACCATTACGCAGTTTGTGCTGCTATTTTATGTTTTAACAAAGTCTCCTCTTATAATACGGCCTGTCTCATACTAATTAAAAGGGCCCCTCCATTCCAAGACATTGGCCCAAATGCTTCTATCATTAATTAAAATGGTCCATCCACTCTTATTTTTCAAAGTCTTTCACTTTTGTTTTCTATAGCAACATGATTACCTGGTGAGCTGGTTTCTTGCTAAGTGGCTCCAACTTGCAAGTAACAAGAAAAGTCCACACACGTTGTTGATTTGTCTATCGAAGTCTCCTCTTATAATACGGCCTGTCCCTCACTAATTAAAACAGCCCCTCTATTCCAATACATTGGCCCAAATGCTTCTATCATTAATTAAAATGGTCCATCCACTCCTACTTTTCAAAGTCTTCCACTTTTGTTTTCTATAGCAACATGATTCCTTGGTGAGCTAGTTTCTTGCTAAGTGGCTCCAACTTGCAAGTTACAAGAAAAGTCTACAATTAGCTTGACTACATGTACAGTCGCACACGCTCTTGATTTGTCTACCATAGGCTGTTTTAGCAAAGGAATCGAAATCATTATAAATAATCTAATGTCTTGAATATCTTAATAAGCTAGTTTGCATACGAAGGTGTGTAGTTTTGAGAAATGTCATGTCACATCAGTTACGCACCCACTTGCTGGGAAGGATACTCAATAAACAAATGCTGTTAATTCATCTCTACACCATTCTCGATTTGCTTAAAATTTCCTTAATGGCCATGGGGTTGTTGGTCAAAAAACTTTCTTTTGATCATTTGTAAATTGTTAAAATTCATTTTGTCAATTTATTTTATAGACATATACATACAACATATTAAAATTTATCTATCAAAATCAGTAGAACAATTGTTTTTAGGTAGACACTAAAGCAATATAAGCATTTACATATATACTCTCTCCTTTAATCCTCAATGTAAGACCTAATTAACTAATTTGAGTAAATTAAAAATATTAATTAAATTAGTTAATATGATATGTTTTTTTTTAAAAAAAATACCATAAGCATCATTCTCAATTCCCTCCTTTTTTTCTCCTACTTGATCATTCTAAGAGAATATCAATAGGGTTAATTGGAAAAAATTGGTAAACATATGAAATAAGTTCTACATATAGGACTAATATTAACTCTAAAATTAGGTCATATATTAAAGATCAAAGAAGTATATAGTATATAGTTGTAAGTGCATAATACATTTTATTAAGAAAAGTATTGATTTAAATATAAATCCTATGAAAATGGAATATCATTACCTTATTTTATTTTTTATTATAAAATGATACATTTAATGTTTTGAGATGTTAAATATTATATTTAAATAATATATATTTGTTAGTGAGAAAAAAATATATAAAAAGTCACACTAACTGAAAGTATGACTTTTTGCGACGACAATTGAAGTTGTTGTTGAAAGTCACTTTATTTAAGTGGCGACTTTAATAGTTACTGAAGAAACTCAAACTTTTAGTCAGTAGCAACTTCAATTATCATCAGAAAGATGAGCCCAAGCAAGCACGAGAAGAAGTAATTAAGGGACAGAAGTTACTGAAAGCTTAGAAGGTCACACTTTTAGTGGCGACTTAAATTATCGCCACTAAAATTCAAGTTTCAAAGACAACTTTTTAGAATCGTCACTGAAAGCCAGTTTTTTTGTAGTATATTTTAATATCATGAAGATCAAAATTAGATATAATTTCATAATATATGTGAAGTATGCCTTAAAAACTTAATAAAGAAAGTTACGAATATGATATGTTAGTCATTAAATTGCATTTTCAACAATAGTTTCTTGTCTCAGACAAAAAAAAAAAAGGAGATTAAAAAATGAAGGTAGTAGTTTATGTCGTGGCCTACTGAGATCATGCAGTTTGAACTGGTTCTATTAGAATGAAGACTCCCTTGTAATACGCCCCAAATGTGTCTATGACTCATTAAAATGGCCCCGCCGCTTCTACATTTCAAAGTCTTCCACTTAGAAAATATAAGTTGCCCGAGCTTGTAAGTTACGGGAAGTCGCCACTTAGCTTATAATTTATTCTCATGCACAGTCACACACGATGTTTGGATATTTCTTGTGGTTGAAATCAAAATCTAGCTATTTCCTCCATTGATCCTTTCACTGTGTTTCTTAAAGTACATGGCTAACAAAGCAAAGTTAAATGATGATTTAATAAACAAATGTACGTGTGCCATGTAATATCCGAACTTTTAGGCCTAGTAGTACCAAAAATAGTCTAAATTGGATAGGCTACTAGACGCCTATTAGGAAAGGTCCCAAAGACGGGAAAGAAAATTAAAACAGTTTCAGGGACTAAACTGCAAAGTAAAAGTTTTCAGGGACTCAAGTATAATCAAGGCTAGAGGCTCCAGTAAAGTCTCGAAGGCCTAGAGAGAGAAAAGAGAGTAGATACAGGTCAAAGGTTAAGTTAGAAACCTCAAAGAGAGGATTGTATGAAGTTAAGTTCAAGTAGGGACTAAACCGTAAATTCGGAAAGTTATGACCAATAGGGGTAAAAATGGAAGAGTATACAAAGAATTCCAAGAAAATCCTAGAAAATGAGAAATAATATTCTAAGGCTCTTCTGTGAAGAGAAAAGACGAAAGTACCTCTGAGGCAGCTTAAATGGAATTTATAAGGTTATGGCCAGTAAAAAGTACATTGTTTGAGGTAATTATTTAAAATAGCAAGAGACCTCAAAAATGTATACAAAAATGAGATTAAATGGTTGAAAGGTTATACTAATTTATAAAATTAGTCTCGCAACCAAAAGGCCAGTGGAATGGTTTTAATAAATTAAAAAGTTGATTATGTTGATAAAAGGGCATTTTGGTAAATGAATTTTATGCAAGGCTTAAAGGGAGTGTTGTGGCCTAAGAAAATTCATAGTTATTCTCTAGAATTAAAAGAAATTTATGGAGTAGACAAAAGAATTTTCTGAGCTCCAGAAGGCCATAAAGAAGGCCGGAGAAATGTGGGCCAAGTAAATTTGGAGGAATCAAGTTTGATCCAACGACTAGGATCTAATCTCCCTTCTCCTCCACCACATTTGTGACACTTGGCATCTTCTAGAAGGTTGAGGTAAGCATGATGCAAGAATATGATGCAATGATGATGTAAAAGTTAACTTGAAATTCCAAAATTGCCCTTACCCTTTCTATTAACTACCAAAGGTATTTTGGTCCATTCAAGCCAAAATTTTGACTATAAATAGGCACTCCTCCCCTCACATTTTTGGCCAAACAAGGAACCATAGGGAAAACTCTGCCGCTCTTGCATTTAGAGAGAGAAAGAGCTATTTCTAGTGAGAGAAAGTCCATCTAAGTTCAAGCTTCAAGATCAAGGTATGTGGTGGTTATAGCATCTGATTTGATACCTATTTCAAATTAGTTTCTCTTTGAATCTGATTCTGAAATTTTGTATGATTAAAGTACACTCTGTGAGCTTTAAATCTATGAGTAGAACACTTCATTTGGATATGTGTACGATTTATGGTGATTTTTCAAAGTTAGGGTTTGAAATCTAGAAATAGTGTTGAACTTTTGGAAGAGTATCGAGTTCCGTACAATTCTGGCACTGTTCAACGTAGAATTGGTTCCTAAAACTATGTTTCCTTTAAATTTAACTTAAGTATCTTTTAGTGAGACTTGGAACCACTCAATTTTGATTTTTTTAGAATTAATTATAAATTTTCAAAGTTGAACAAAAATTCTGGGTTTTCTGCGTGAACAGTACCCGCGAAACATAATTTCCAGATTTGATCTTCTTGAATCTAAGGCCATCTAAAGTGGTCCTAATTGATAAGAAATAGATCTTAAGGATGGTAAATGATGAGATTTATGTTAGAGAAGCTAGAAAGAAAACCCTAAAAGCAAGAGAAAGGATTGAGGTTCAAGAGAGCTAGTCTTGAACTTTATGTAATTTAGTGGTCCTAATAGATTGTATGATCTATGTGACTATATTTAGGACCTTTGGAACATCAAAGGGGATGTTTGGTGATGTTAACCGAATGCCACATGGTTGGAAAGTCAAAGGAGTCAAAGGAAAAGTAAGAGGAAAGCTTGAGGTGCAAGGTAGTGAACTTGTCTATTGTCATTGCTTGATGTTGTATGCTTGTGTGTTGCCGTGTACATGTTATTGAATGTTATTGTGACATGTTTTAGCTGCTGTAATTGCTATTCATGATGAGTAGATTATGTTTCCATGGCCATGCATCAAGAAGTTAGCTTTAAGCATGCTAATATGTCACTAATTAACAAGAAAATAAACAAGTTACGTGTAATGCATTAGCATCCATCTAGCATGATTAATATGGTATTGTTTGCTACTAAGATTCCCCCGAATCTCACCCCCTTCCTAATCAACCATTTAGGTCAATAATCAATGAGCAATAATGGCATGAGAAGCAAGGAGAAGAAAATGGAGAATTGTTCATCTTAATGAATGATATTATCATTCAATGTGTAATTCTCCTACTATGTAATTTATGTTGTGGATGCCAATGATGCCATGTAATTAATTATAATATCTATGGTATAAATGAAAGTGTATGAGCATGAATGGGAAAGAGTAAGCCCATGTTATGTATGCCAAAGAAATAAAAAGAATTAAAGTAAAGAGATGTTAAGAGATATAACATAGGTCCTGGAGCAGTGAGTTTGTAGCTGTAGTTTGACCTATCAAACGAATGAGTTAAGTCAAGAGATTAGGCAGAATCATAGTACATATCCAAAATTTAAAATGAGAGGTAGATCATCTCAATTGGATGTGTACACAAGGAGATACGAATTTCCAAAGTTGAAGCACAGAATTTGGAAGTTCCAGATTTTATGAAATGAACAGTAATATTTATTGAATTAAACTGTACGAATTGGGTATGGATAAGTCCAATTGGATATTTTTCCCTTAAAGATCATCGAAACAGCTTTCCGTAGAATTTTAGAACACCTCAATACAATTTTTATGGGTTTAGTTATGAATTTTTGAAGTTGGACCTATAATCTTAAAATTTAACAGTGAATAGTAACTCGAGTAATTATGTTGAAATTTTAAATCCACGGATTTGTGTCATGATCTGCTTGAACCATAACGCTTACGAATGCATGCTCTGAGGGGTTAAAGGCAGGATGTTTCATGCCAAATTCAAAATTGAGAAAAAGTACGCATACTTGTAAAATGGCTTCCCCCCTTAAAATTCATATGGAGATTAAGCTTAACTATTCAAATTAAATGCGAACACATCATTAATTATCTATGAGAAAAGTGCAGATTTTGGCATTACTTTCTCAAGATGTACTATCAATCGTCAATTAATTCAAGAGGCCCCTAACTCCCACACACATTAATTGATTTTTCCATCTTTCAAGAGTTATTTTTCATGTCGTCCAAGGCGCAAGCTGGAAATAAAGCCTCAGAAGACCAAGTCTTTCTTAGAGCACTATCACTATTTCTCTTCTTCCCTTTCTACACATAATTTTTCTTTTTGTCAGTCCGTTCTACACGTAAATGGAATTTAAGAAAAGTGCTTGATTAGCTAAATATTTGGGGAAGAAAAACAAATTGAGATTTTATATTTGAGATCAAAACAAATTTCTGAACTAGTTTTTATATGCAAGATTGTAGGGAGTGTATGTTTAGTTTAGTTTTTAATATGAATTTATTATAAATAACTTTTCTATATATTGTGCGGCTAGTAATTGAATAGGACCGGGGGAGTATTATTTTAAAGTTAATATCATGAAGATTAATATGAAATATGATTTCAGACCATATGCAAAGTTTGTATTAAAAAATTAATAGAGAAGGTTAAAATGCTAAGCCAAAAAAGAAAGTTAAAACAATATGATAATTTTTTTCCAAAAAAAAATTGAGGAGGCTAATCACAAAGTTTAAGATCGATCAGCGAAATATAAATTTTAGGGGTTTCACTTGAAGGATCAAATTTTAAGTTGGTTTGGTTTTTTTCAAATTTCAATTGTTTTCGTATAAATTGAATTTGTAACTAAGATTGCTCATTTTGATCCCAAATGGCAAATGGACCTTTGGGGATTTTTTTTTTGGCAAAAAAAATATTTTTATCTATTAAAAGATTTAAGTGCTAATAAATATAGGGAAAATGACATAAAAATGATATTTAAACTTGAAAATCCCAAAATGGTTACTTGAATAAGTAAAATTCAAATTCTTTTTTAAAAAAAAAGAATAAAAAATAAAAGGTAATATGGTTATTTCAAAAAATTTGTAAATTCCAAATTGGTCACCTGTACTTAAATTGGAATTTTACTTATTCAAGTAACTATTTTGGGGTTTCAAAGTTTAAGTGTCATTTTTGTGTCCTTTTCTCATAAATATATATCACACTTTTTCGGGCCAATATATAAAATACTTTTCATATCATGTAAGTTAAGTATTACATTCTTTCATACTATAATATTTATTAACAAATAAATTAATGAAGTCTCAGCGATAATATTCTTCAAATGTCATTAATTAGAATTGCACATCCACTCCCACTTTTCAATGTCTTTCACTTTTTCTTGATAAAATGATCACTAATAAGCTGTTCTCTTCTTCTTTAGTTGCCCAGCTTGCAAGTTAGAAGAAAGTCCACAATTAGCTTGACTACATATACAGTCACGCACGTTGTTGATTTCTCTATCATATGCTATTTTGGCAAATGAATCTGAATCATTATAGATAATTTAATGTTTTAAATATCTTAATAAGCTAGTTTGCATACAGAGGCGTTGTTTTGAGAAGTGTCAAGTCACATCAGTTACACACCTACTTGCTAGTAAGAATACTCAGTGAATAAATAATGACTGTTACTTCATCTCCTTATATATCCCTCTCACTATCCCTTCATTTACACCATTCTCGATTTGTTTAAAATTTCCTTCATAGCCATGGGGTTCCTTGTCGTCAGAGAATCTCAATTTTCTGAAAAGCTAACACTTTGGTGGGTGCTATTAGTTGGCTTTTTAATATTGTTCCCATTTCCTGTTTCCTCTTTCATGACCTTATCATTAAACAGTGAAGTAAATGCTTTGCTCAAGTGGAAGGCCAGCCTTGACCACCAAAGCCAAACTGTGTTATCGTCATGGAAGGAAAATGGCAGTCCTCCTTGCAAATGGGTTGGAATTGCATGCAATGAGCTCAACCCCATTGCCAATATATCTCTTCCAAATTTTGGACTAAGAGGTACGCTTGATAGTCTCAATTTCTCATCCTTCCCTCATCTCTAATTCATACAGTTGCAACATAACTCATTTTATGGGAATATCCCTCCCAAGATTGGCGAACTATCCATACTCATTTGTATAGATTTTTCTTCTAATGAGTTCTCCAGTAGCATTCCAACAAGTCTTGCCAACCTTTCCTCAATCACCATTTTTAATTTTAGTCATAACGAACTTTTTGGAACATTTCCAGATTGGATCACACAGTTGACTAGGATTAGTGTTATGGGCATAGGTTATAATCATTTCAGTGGCCATATTCCTAAAGCTATAGCAAATTTGACTAACCTATCATGGTTTGAGCTAGGAGGCAATAACTTTTCTGGTCATATTCCTCCACAAATTGGTAGATTGATTAACCTCCAATACTTAAGATTTAATGACAATCAGTTTATTGGCTCTATCCCCCATGGGATTGGAATGATCAGGGGACTTGTGGAATTTGACATGTCAGTCAACTATCTCTCTAGTAGCATCCCTACTACTATCGGAAACTTGTCCCGTTTACAAGGACTTTATCTTTATTCTAATCAAATCTTAGGGTCAATTCCACAGGAAATCGGGAAACTCCATGCTTTGGGAGAATTGGAGTTGGTAGACAATAAAATATCGGGATCAATCCCACCATCCATAGGGAACTTGACCAATCTAGTCAACCTCAGGCTTTTTCAAAACAACCTTTCTGGATCTATCCCTTCTAGTATTGGAAACTTGACAAAGCTCTCTGTGCTAGAATTGGCAACGAACAACTTCTCTGGATCTGTTCCTTCTAGCATTGGAAACTTGACAGATCTCACCCAACTAATATTATATGAAAACAAGCTTTCTGGATCTATCCCTTCTGGCATTGGAAACTTTGCAAAGCTCTCCATACTAAGTTTGTTTGAAAATAAACTTAGTGGCAATCTTCCATCAGAGATGAATAACCTTACAAAATTGGTACTCTTGGATATTGCATACAATAATTTCAAAGGTCATTTGCCCCAAGACATTTGCCTTGGTGGACTGCTTACTATATTCATTGCAACTAAAAATCAAATCACTGGTCCAATTCCAAGAAGCTTGAAGAACTGCTTTAGCCTTATCAGAGTCAGGCTTGAAAGTAATCAACTTACAGGGAACATCACAGAAGCTTTTGGTGTATATCCACACTTGGACTATATTGATTTAAGTAATAATGCACTTTATGGCCACTTGTCACCCACATGGGGGCACTGCAATAACCTTACAAACCTTGAGATCTCTTATAATAACTTGTCGGGGGGCATACCACCAAAACTAGGTCAAGCAACAAAGTTATAGCGACTTAATTTTTCATCAAATCACTTGACAGGAAATATTCCAAAGGAATTGAGCCACTTGACATTATTGAGTGAACTTGGTTTGAGCAACAATCAACTTTCAGGAAACATTCCTATTGAGATAGGATTGTTGACGAAACTTGAAAAGTTAAGTCTAGCTAACAATCACTTAAGTGGCTCAATTCCAGAACAACTGGGAGGGTTGACCAAATTATGGGAATTAAACATAAGTGGAAATAAGTTCTTTAGCATTCCCATTAGTTTTGGTCAATTGCAACAGCTTCGGTTTCTTGATCTTAGTGGAAATTCATTTGCTGGAACAATCCCAGTAATGCTTGGACAGCTACAACGACTGGAAATGTTGAACCTCTCATGTAACAATTTCTTTGGAATGATTCCTTCATTTTTTTAATGATTTGATAAGCTTGACTATGATTGACATATCATACAATAAATTAGAAGGTCCACTTCCAAATATTTGAGCCTTTCATGCAGCTACAATAGAGAGATTAAAAGGCAACAAAGGCTTATGTGGTAATCTATCTGGCCCACCAATTTGCCCAACAACAAATTTTGACTCAAGCCATTCCAAGAGCAGGAAAGTGGTGATCTATGTTGTATCCTTTGGTTCAGGAGCTGTGATGCTAGCAACATTTTTTGTTGGAATTTCATATATTATTTTTCATCACAAAGCAAAGAAAACAAAAAGTCAAGAAAGAGAAGGGCAAACTCAAAATTTGTTTGCCATATGGAGTTATGATGGGAAATTAGTATATGAAAACATTATTGAAGCCACAGAGGAGTTCAACGAAAAATATCTCATTGGAGAGGGAGGATCTGGAAGTGTCTACAAAGCAGAATTATCCACAGGTCAAGTTGTGGCTGTGAAGAAGCTTTATTCAGTACCAGACAAGGATATGTGTCATCAAAAAGCTTTTATGAGTGAGATTAGGGCCTTAACAGAAACTAGGCATCATAATATCATCAAGCTATATGGGTTTTGCTGGCATTCAAAGGTCTCATTTTTGGTTTATGAATTCTCTGAAGGAGGCAGCTTGGACAAGATACTAAGTGAAGAGACACAAGCAATTGCATTGGATTGGACTAAAAGAATCAAAGTTGTTGAAGGTGTGGCTAATGCTTCATACTATCTTCATCATGGATGCTCACCTCCGATAGTTCATCGTGACTTATCAAGCAAAAATGTTATTTTAGACTCAGATTATGAGGCACATATCTCTGACTTTAGGACATCCAAGCTTTTGTATCCAGATTCTACCAATTGGACCTCATTTGCTGGCACCTTTGGCTATGCTGCTCCAGGTTAAGGATCTTTTATGTTATGCGGTTTTCATTACTTTTGAGTTTGCATGGTGTTATATGTCATGTTTCCATTATTTAACAATAAAAAATTTATTATTCACAATGTTTTCTTCATGATAATCTTTTTGGTTTTGTTATAGAACTTGCTTACTCAAAGCAAGTTACCGAGAAATGTGACGTCTATAGCTTTGGAGTGTTGGCTCTGGAAATAATCATGGGAAAGCATCCAAGAGATCTCATAATGTCATGTTTCTCATCAACATCTTCTAGTGCAACACCAACAACACACTACTACAAAAAATACATTTAACGGCGGTTAAAATAAGCTTTTTACGGCGGTTTTGAGACCGACGTCTATGCCATCGACGTAAAATGTAGAGGATTTCACGGTGGTTTAAGAACCGCCGTGATATGTGACTGAAAAATACTGATTAGGAGGGAACGGAAGAACAAAGCCTCAAAAGAAATCTCTCGCCAGTTAAAAGCATTTTGATGGAGTAAATATAGATTCTTTCCTGCCTTCATAGCGTCACTTAGCTTCACCTTCGGCCACCAGATCGAAGCAACTAAGATTTAATAAAGGTAAAATCAAAGACTCAGATCTGATAAAATCAAAAACTCAGATCTGTTAAAAATCAGATCTCTTTAAACTCAGATTAAGCATCTTATTTTTAACTAAAGAAAATAATCATATCAAACCACAAAAACTACAAAATCCACAGAAAGAATGGAGGTGAAAAACTCACAAATAAGAATGAAGAGGATGAGGCGATGGTGACGGTAACAGCAACAGCGACAGTGATGGTAGAACATGGCGGAAATGATAGAGGCAATGGATAAACGCCGACAAATATAGGAGGAGGGAGAAAATCGAGTGAGGATGTGGTATGGGGGACTATGAGCTCTGACTCTGAAAAGTGAAAACTATCGCGCGATGGATTTTAAAATTCTGATAGACTTTTTACGGCGGTTATTTAAAAAACCGCCGTTAAAAGTATTTTTTACGGCGGTTTTTAAAAAACCGCCGTTAAAAGTCCGCCTATAATTACAGAAATGCCACCGTCATATTTTTTACAACGTTTTTGCTAATAACCGCTGTAAATTAGCGTTGTGAATACTCTTTTTTGTAGTAGTGATAGCTACTCACAATTTGGATTTGAACGAAGTGTTAGACCAAAGGCTACCTTATCCTCAAGGCTTAGTGGTTAAGAAGGTGACGTTGATTGCAAGAATAGCTTCTACCTGCTTGAATGAAAATCCACGTGCTCGCCCAACCATGGAGTAAGTATGTAAGCAGCTTGCAATGCCAAAATCACATATTTCTAGTTCTGTTCCATAGCTTCATATAAGTTATGTTGGAGATCTCAACTGAAAATAAGATCATCATGATGTGATGATGTGTGGTATATTATTGTCTTTATACTTAATGTGTTCCCCTAGTCTACTTGTGTTTTACCTTTTGAATATGGACCAACCCAAAATAATAATTAAATATTGTGTAATTAAGTTCATTAGTGATGTGTTATCAATTTATAGTTTCTATTACATATTTTTCTAATCCTTGATTTGAGAAGACTAATGTTGCACATCATCATTAACAACTCCAATATATGACTAGTGTGTGTGTTACCCAGTGAAAAGTAATTAATTCATATTCATGCAAGCGTCACCCTGAATTGATTAGTTTAGCAATTTTGTAATTTTAGAGAACTTATTTTTTCAAACACATTGTAAATCTATTAATTGTTTAGCCTCCCAGATCTTTAGCGATTTGCTAGTTCAATCCAAGTACTGGAAGATCTCCATTTGCATATCCGTCTCTATCATCACAAACTAACAGTAAAATTTTTTCAAGCACATTGTAAAATTTTAAACCATCTCCAAACAGCAGTGATGTATAATAAATTTTTTATTTTTAGTGCAATAAAAAATTCTCTTTTTATATAAGTAAGCATTAAATATCACTCCACCATTTATGTCCAATACTGTTTTGCTTTAGGTTCTTGATAATATTTATAAAGAAAAAGCTCTTTTAAACTTGTTGCCATATAGATAGTATCAACTACTAATGTCTTGTTGCCATGATTATTTTGCGAAAAAATTTTCAAATTGACTAAAAGTTCTAAGTGAGACAATTTTGAAGAACAAAATTGAGCAGAACAAATTAGATTATAGTCTTATGCAATGTTAAAAAAGATAAATTTCTTAAATGAATGCTCATGCCAAAAAAGAAGTTTTCAAGTTATATCAAAATAAACCTAGTCACTTACAAAGGATTAAATAAAATAAATAATACTAAATACAGATATCTGATATGCAAATTAAATATATGATATGTAAATTAAAATACTTAACGTATAATTTACATTTCTATATATATATGCACACATATATGTGAAAAAATCTAGGTGACATGCATATTGAAAACAATAAGAAAAATGAAGAAAGGATAAGAAATAGAGGGGGGGAATCAATAGCATCTAAGCATGAAGAGGAGAAACTCATCTCTAGAATGAACACAAATGTGAGATGTTCAAAAGTTCGAGGCCAACAAACACACCACCAAACTTAAGGATTAATTAAAAAAAAAAAAGTCAAATCAGGTTTCACGTGTTGTTCCTCACCTCTCATATTTCATCTTAATCATGCATGTTAGTAACTTAAAGACGGCTAAAAGAAATGTAATTATGAAAAACTTACAATACCTGTTATGCTTTTATTATTACTAGAAAGTGTCTCTCTTTTTATTACATAACTATAGGGACATAAGGTTATTATATCACTTACATTTTTGAGATACTTAGCAATAATAACATGATTGGTGTTGAAAGCATCAAAGTTACGTTTTAACTTGGATGATAATGTTGAATGACTAATGATTTGTGATTTGGAAACCTTGTAGTTATGGCCAAGTGCCTTGGGAATGTATTGGTTGTGGAATGTGGATCCACATGAAGCTATCTATTTTGATGATTGGCCTTTATTCAAGAATTTGTGATGTGTATGCTAAACTATTGCTTGCGGGCTTGATGGTTAGACTTGAGTGTCTTGGACTTTGAATGGGTCCAAAGTTCACCTGTTATGTATTACATACTACTTCATGTTCTAAATATAAAAACTAATTAGAGATTTAATTTAATCATAAATATAATATTTTAATTTATTGTGTTTTTTATATTTATTTATTTTTAAGCAAGGTGGTTATAGCAAATCATCCTTCTTCAATAGTCCTTATGGTGGTGGCTGGGATTCTGAATCCTATGGCTTTAACCAGTCATCTTTCAAGTACCGACCACAGTATTCCAGTAGCGGTGACTTTTTTAGGGAACGGCTTTTCTTCACTGCCCCTCCTTTGCTTCAAAATGTTGCCATTTGGAGGGAAAAAAAAGAGGAGAATTACAATCAAGTCTCATAAAAGAAAAAAAATAACAAAACAAGTTCCAAATGTTGTTATTCTCCACTGTAGCACTTGTCATTACAGGCTGCTCAAATTGTTATTGGGACCTTTTAGTAATTATTTCTCTTCTGTAGGACCTGATTGTAATTCTCCCAAAAAAATGACAAGAAAAAAATACGAGATCAGAGGAAGGAGTGAATGGAAAATTGCTAATTAGTTTTCTGTTTGGGAATATGGTTGGAAAGTAAACATGGGTAAAGGTGCAGCTATATTTTTTTAATATGCATTCAATATCTTAAAGTATTTTGTATTTTCAGGTACATTTAGCACCATAAAGTATTTTTTAGTACTATTTTATACTTAATAATTTAGAATGCTGAGTGCACCAAAATAACTAATTTACGAATAATAAAAAATTAATTAAAATTAGTTAAAAGCCATAAATAGATTAGAAATATATTTTTATTTTCAAATATGCCCTTATAATAAATAAAAAAAGGATAAAAAAATGTGTGGGAAAATGTGATAACTGTCACATCCCAAAAATTTTTATTTGGCAATAAATGATCAAAAATTGGGATAAGGCTCAATGTAAGAACTAGACAGGGAGATGAAACGATTTTTGATATGAAACCCCGAAAAGGTCCGAGCTGACATTTTCGTAATTATCGATCTAGGAAGGGCAAAACGGGAAAATTTGAGAAAAATTCCAGAAAATCCCTGAAAAATGGAAAGTATAGAGTAAAGGTTTTGAAAACTCGGTTGAGGTCCGAAAGGTGAAATTTCGGTAAAAATGAATTATTACGGAATTTCCTGTAAATGGAGGTTTTTCGGGAAATTATTGGGGAAATGAAGGAAAATAATTATTTTACTGAGTTAGAGACCTCAATAAATTTGGGAGATTGATGGAAAATTCATCTAAATGTGTGTTTGAATTTATAAAATTAGTTTTAGGCCTTGGAAGCCCAGGAATTAATTTTAGAGAATTTATTTTCTCTCAGATTTACCGATAAAGGCCTAATCGGAGAAAATTCAAAATAAATACCTAGAGGTGGTGAAAAATTCTGGAAAATTTCAGATCATGCTCTCATATTAAAAGGTGAATTATCACAGGGAAGGCATAAGAAAATTAAGCCTAGCGTGGAGGCTCCTTAATTTATGACTTTTGATGCGCACGCACATATATATATACTCCTCTGATCTTAAATATAAGAACTTTTTTGTAGTGTAATTTACACTACAAAAGGGATCTTATATTTAGGATCAAAGGAATACTTTTTTTGTATTTAGGATCAAAGGAATACTTTTTTTGTTCTTAATATAGGATTTAATTGGGAAGTTAATATTGGTCTTATATGTAAAACATATTTAATATGTTTATCAATTTTTTCAAATTAATCTTATTAATATTCTCCAATAATAATCAAATAGAAAAAGAAGGGAATGAGTTAAGAAAGATGATGTTTAGGATGTTTTAGAAGAAACATATCATATTAACTAATTTAACGAACACCCTTAATTTATTTAAATTAGTTAATTAAATTTTATGTTAAGGATCGGAGGAGTATTATATTTTTCCAAGGATTGTTGTGACTAACACACGGATGAGAGCCCAACAGATAAATCAGAACTAGTGCCTCAGTTTGGTCCGTTTGATTTTTAGACCATTTTGTCCTTAAGTTCATAACCACATCCACTTCCACCCATTTTTATTTTATTACTACTTTTTTTGTACAAATAATGAACTAATTACGGCTCATTTTCATGGAGGTTGCACCAATACCATCCGCCTTTTACCTTGTCCGCTTTCGGTTGGCTAACTGCTTAAGTTCGTCAAATTTCAAGTTCATTACCAAACATTTATATGTGCGTTTGACTCTTTTGCTATTGATTTAATATTACTTAGTATTTTA